TCTGTTTCAGTCACTGAGCTTTAGGGAACCGTGATGAACAGGGCAGGCCTCCTAGTTACTCTCAGGAGTGTACAGTGTCTCTGGGTAAATAGACAATAGGGACATTTCAGGTGTCACGAGTCCTTCACCTGGAGTTACGTCGCATGCTTTGGAGACTGGTGTGCGTGAGGGTGTGGTTTGTTTTTGGCCATGTCTTTGAAGCCATGCAATGCAAGACAGAAGAATGTGAAATGGAAAATGTGTGCTTCTGTACACACTTGGGAACAGTCATATTCTATGTAATTTTGTCTTTCTTTTTTAGTTTTTAAATTGCTAGAGGGTGCATATCTATTCCAGAGAGAGACAGAATGAGAGGGTGAGAGGGAGAAAGCGCCCTTACTGGGCTGTGGTCAAGCTGCCACTCTTTCTCCACCGTCTCTGCATTCCATCAGGATTTGGGGCATGCACGCACACATGCCTGGTACATTTCCCAAACCACCAGACCGGGATTTGAACTATGGTTGGCCACGTGGAATCTGGCTTCCTTAATCAGTAGTCTACAGGGTGGGCTCTAATTTTGTATTTCTGATGAACACTTTCACGAGAATGTAAAATGATGGTTCAAAGCATGGTGTTCTGTAGCCAGGCTTCTCAGATTCCAACCCCAGACTCACCTCTTCCTGTGTGTGTTATTGAGGGAAAATGATAGGGCCATCAGGAAAGTCATGACATGTTTTTCCATGCAAAAATGCATCCTGACTTCCCCGACGGCCCAGTTAACTTCTCTAGGTAATTGTCATCATTAACAAAAAGTAAATGATAATAATAGTACCCACTTCTTAGGTTCCTTGTGCAGCAGCTTTAGATGAGCTAATGCCTGTGAGGTCCTCAGTGTTAGCTCTCGCCAGCTTTGAATCATTATTTTACTAAGGTAGAGTAGGAAGGACACAGGTTTAGCAATCAACCAGGCCAGGGTTGGAATCCCACTCCATCCTGTACCTATTGAGTGACTGAGCAGCTAACTTAACCCCTCTGAACCCAGTTTCTTCATCTGTAAAATAGAGATTGCTTTAAGGGGTAAATGAGATAGAATATTTCTTGGTAATTAGCAGGCTCTCAGAGAATCACATTTATCTCTCTTCCCTCCTTTCCTCTAAGATTAAACATCATTTGAGCCAAATAGCTTGTTGAAAGATAAAGACATGATGAGATGAAATGATATTCTGGAGACCTGCAAGTAAAAATCGAGACCAACAGATGGTGCAATGGTTGCATCATTGGATTTCTATGTAGTCGACTATGGTTCAAGTCCCATACCTGGTGACTTTAAACTCATGCCAGGTGTGTGTGCGTGCATACCCAAAATCCCAAGAGGAGAATGGAGGAGAAGGGATTGTGGTGTGGCCATCCTCCACCCTGGGAGGTGATTTCTCACTTTTTGTATCTCTGTGTCTTTCTATTTCTCTGGCAAGCACATGCACCCTATAGCAAAAATTTCTTTAAAAAAAAAAGTAATGTGTATAGTATAGCTTTCAGGTCATTTTCACATTTTAAAAATTGTCCTTTGAAACAAAAGTTCTATGAACAAAAGAGAGAATAATTCATCCACTGTTATTATTTTCTGATCTTTTATCTTTTACAGTATGAGCGAATGAAATAGAATTAAGAGAACAATTTATAGACCTCTGAGCAAACAGCTATAAAAACCCTAAATTCTGTTTATTTTTATTTCAAAGTATCATGTCTATGCTGTTGTTTATAAACAGAGAAAGAATAATGTGTCAAAAGAAGAGAAGCTCGGGCCTGCAGATGGTGTAGTGGTTAAGGCTCTGGACTCCCACATGTATGACCACAATTCGACTCCTGCAGGCTTGAAAATCGCACCAGGGGGACCAGTAGTTAGCGTAATGGCTATGTAGCTGGACTCCCATGTAGTTGACCGCGGTTCACGTCCCGGACCTGGTGGCTTGAAACTCATGCTGGGCTTGTGTGTGTGTGTGCCCAGGATCCCGAGAGGAAAATGGAGGAGAAGGGATTGTGGCATGGCCATCCCCCCATAGGGTGATTTCTTGCTCTCTGTCTCTCTGTCTCTGTCTGTCTGGCGAGCGTACGCACCCTGTTGCAAAAACCTCTCCAAGAAAAAAAAAAAAAAAGAATAAAAGAAAAGAAAATCACACCAGGTGCTGCCCAAAATCCAGAGAGGTGAATGGAGGAGAAGGGATTGCAGTGGCTAACCTCCCTGGGGGGTGGGGGGAGTGGTTTCTCACTTTCCCTTTATCTCCATCTCTTTCTCTCAGACAAGCGCATGCACCCTATGGCAGAAACCTAAAAAAAAGGAAAACAAAAAACAACCTAAAGAAGAAGAAGAGAAACCTGCATGGTGGAGTAAGTCAGGAAGAAAGGTCAGAGAGCGCCGGACCAGTGACTCAGGTGCTGGGCAAGGTCACCCCACTCCTCTGACTGGCACCTCCCTCTGCCCGCTGTGTGTGCTGTTTCTACTTCCCTGGTGGGATGAGGACTGGGGAGCAATTTTAGGTTAATTCCCCCATTGCATTCTCTAGAGGCCTGAAGTGGTTACCTTCTTTATAGGTCTGATGTGGCAATGGTCTAAGAAGGGAAGACCTTCAAATATTCCACAAATTATAAAGTTCCTAATAAGTGCTCCGTAATAACAAACACAAAACAAAGGTTGGAGTCCTTCGTTCAAGGCATGGCCTCTGTATCAACTTTTCTTTCAAAGCTTTCCTTCAGGTTTATTTATTTTCTTCTTCCCATGGCAGGTTTCCTGAAATCTAGTTTCTTTAATGACCTGCCTTTTTCTCTCACTTCATCTCTTTAAAAGTACATCCACTTCTGGACCTGGAGAGAGATCCAAAGGGCAGATGCTGAGCAGGGCTGGAAAGCCAGCAATATTTAACTTCCGTGACCCTGGCTTTGCAAGCAGAAGCTGCATCTTCGTGTCTCTGGCAGGCAGAACTCAGGAGCATCGGGAGGTGGTGGGTGTCTTGTCTCTGCTGTCCTCTCTGTCCTCCCTTACTTTGGGGTTGGGGGAACACATCTCCAGTTCCTCTGGGTCAAATTCCACTTGTAGGTAGAATTAGGACTGGACAAGCCCCTGATTTCTCTTACCCACCTAAACGCTCTGCTGTGGTATGATTCAACAATAAACCTTCACAGGGGTGGGGGCAATTTATACATGTGACCTGGCAACAACCCCCTGAGCCAAGTGACCAGCCCCTCCCCTGCCAGATTCTGCCCTGAATTCTCCAGGCTGCTGTGTAGCCACTTGGTTCACTCCACTCTCAGCCTGGCCCTGTAGCCCTCTGAGATCTAGTCATCCTCTAAAGCTAGAGTCATGTCTGTGTGTGAGGACGAGCTTGTTTTCTCTTCTTAGGAGACGGCGGTGGCTGACCTGAGTAGAAGCAGGAGAAACAGCAATACACTTTCTAGAAAAGCTATCTGAGGGGCCGGCAGGTGGCATGGTGGTTAAGGGTGCTGGACTCCCACATGGCTGACCACGGTTGAAGTCCTGGAACTGGTGGCTTGCTTTTTCACTTTCTCCCTCCCTCTCTGTTCCTCTCTGGGCAAATTAAAATAAATAAAATAATTCTTTAAAAAAAAAAAAGAAGGGACCAGCAGTTAGCGTAATGGCTATGTCGCTGGACTCCCACGTAGTCAATTGCGGTTCGAGTCCTGGACCCGGTGGCTTCAACGCACGCCGGGCGCGGGTGCGTGCGTGCCCAACATCCCAAGAGGAGAATGGAGGAGAAGGGATTGCGGCGTGGCCATCCTTTCTGGGGGGTGATTTCTCGCTTTCTATCTCTCTGTCTCTCTCTGTCCGGCGATCACATGCGCCCTATAGCAAAAACCTCTCAAAAAAAAATAAATAAAACTTAAGAAATCTGAGAAAAACTTGGTGCAGGTGAGACTATGGACATGACAGTTTCAGAAACCAGTTGAGAGATGTAGAAATATTTTCCAACCACTGTTTTTCTTGTCCTTGAAACATAATTTCATATATTGGGCTATTGGAAAAGTCATGACATATTTTTTCTTTCTTTTTTTTTTTTTTTTGAGTTCTTTTTTGCTATGGGGCACGTGTGCTCGCCAGAAAGACAGAGAGATAGAAAGTGAGAAATCACCCCCCAGGGGGGATGGTCACCCCACAATCCCTTCTCCTCCATTCTCTTCTTGGGATCTTGGGCAAGCATGCGCCCAGGACTGAGTTTAAGCCACTGGGTCCAGGACTGGAACAGCGGTCAACTACATGAGAGTCCAGCGACATAGCCATTACCATCTGCTGGTCCCCATGACATATTCTTTCTATGCAAAAAACGAGCCATGACTTTTCCAGTGACCCAATATATTAATTGTTTTGACCAGTGATCAACATGACATGTGCTCTGGTGGTTAGGAGATATTTGAATTGACAAAGAAAAAAAACACAAAAACTTAAGAGATTTTTTACTGAACCATATAGAGAAAAGTACACAAATGATCAGTGCACGGGGTCAGTGCATTATCACACAGTGCACATTTGCTACTAAGCACAAACCAGGCCAAACAAAGAGCACGCGGATAACCTCCAGATGTGGTTCCTCTTCAGAAATAAGTTTTTGATGGTGTCAACAGCCTCCTCTCACCATTGTCCCTTACAGAAACTGTTCTTGGGACCACTTTCCTTATTCTTCCTCTTCATTTCCCTGCCCGCACTCTTTCTCCCTCTTAGGACAAACCAAATGATAATGAGCACTGGTCATTCTCTTGCCCAGAACCTGAAGTAGAAAGACACGGTTCGGGGCAAGGAACGAATCCCCACCATGTCTGTATGGTAAGGAAACCATGAACCATGACGGGTGTGTGGCCAAGTTCCAGGCGTTTTACGGGCTGTCTCACAAAGACTCAAGGGTGCAGGCCAGACGGGTGGACTCTCACTCTCATCTCCTCGGGAAGGAAACTGAGGCTCTGGAGGGCTAAGCAACTGCCTCTGGACTTCTGAAACCAACCCTTTGCAGTGCGTAGTCTTGGTCCAGGGCAGAACTAGACTTCAGTGTTTAAAGGGAATTCTCATGGCGGAGGTGGGTGGCTGTTGTCCCTCTGGAGAAGCCAGTAGGAAATTGGGTGCCTCTTCCCCGAAAAACGCGTGGACACAGGAACACAAAACGTCCACGTGACTCCTGGGGTTTCCACACGAGGGGAGCCACTGGTACTGTGGACCTCCCCGGTCTGCGGCGGTCACTGTGCGGGGACAGCACACGTGCGTCTCGACTCCCACTCCCGCGAGCTCCCGCGGACAGGACCGCCAGGTCGTCCACCTGCGGGACGCCCGACGCCCTCTCCCAGCCCGCAGCGCGCTGTGGGGCGCCCTCCTTTCCCGCGGAGCTGTCACAAAGGACAGCACTTGGCACGCTCTGTCCCCGCTGCCCCGGAGCCCCGACTCCACAAAGTTCTGGTGCCCGTTTCTCTGGGCTCACTGCCAGCTGGGCACACAGCTCCGGCCAGATGGGCGCCCGGCGGCCCCGGGAGCCAGGGAGACGAGGGGCGACTTGCATTCATTGCTAGACGCGGGCTCCCCCAAAATGAGCGCAGCTCTCGGCGGGCTTGGCTCGGCTCGGCCCGGACAGGCGGCGGGCGGCGGGCGGCGAG